TAATAATCCAAATGCAAACAAGGATATATGCAAACTATTTTTGTGATTGAATATTGTTTATTGCATGTCAGCATTATTCATACTGTCATGGCAGTCTGGACTAGACAATCAAATGATTGACATCATGAGCATCGATCTATTCAATTGGCGTATAGAAACATGCATCAACCAAGTCAGCAGGCCAGACCACATAATTCTGTTAGTCGCCTCTTACCACAAGCATAGTTGGCTTTTACAACAAGCATGTTGAAGGCCTATTCTAACCAAGATCTTCACAGGTAAGTCTGCAAGTATTTGGATCTAGGCAACAAAAATGATACATGCAATTCTGGTTGAATGACCCTGGTCCCCAATTTCTTTTAATCATGTATACTTATTTAACACATGCTGCTCTGTGAAAGTAGGTCACTGTGACCTTGTTCTTATACACAGGTCATTCAAAACCTTTCCAGGACCTATAGTTGACTTAGTTTCCGGTGATCACTGATAAATTTTCAGCATCAAGTGCTTGCCTTAAGAGTCGACTAATGGGATCGGTGGTCCGGCTCGATGACTTGGTTGATGCATGCAATCTAATCCCAATTTCATAGTTTCTCATGATGTCAATCACTGGATTGTCTGGTTCAGATTCAATTATTTACAGACTGCTGTAATACAGCTTGAATTGTGCTGAGTGCAGCATTAATAAACAAAACAAAACGAACAAAAGCATTGACAAAGGAGTAAATGCTTCAACATAGTATGAATGTGAACTGCCTAAACGGGATTAATCCCTATTTCTTTCAAATATGTTCCCAAATATATAATGTTATTTTATCAAGTTCAATCTGCCCAATCTGGATTACGGACTGAATTAAACAAGTTATCATTGAAATGGATGCTAACTAATCTGTATTAATTTTTCATACATGGGTGGATGCCATTGTTCATGACTCAAAACTTGTTAATCTATCATTTGCATTCTTAGATTTACATGCATAACTTCAACAGCTTCTCGACTGCACCACTATTCATTTATTGATATGTTTAATTTGCCAATGTTTCAACAATTTTTCAAATCGCAGGGATAAAAATAATAAGACTGCTTTGCTGTTGCCATGGACACATAGAAGATGTTCTGAGAAAATGATTTTGATATGATAATGGACTTTGAAGTTCAGTAACAAAGAAAGATGGACAAGTCTCCTGACAAATGCTCAAATTTCCTTCAGCAAAATGAGCTAACAACTGTTTTGATAGAAGCATAATTCTTGTGAATACCAAACTCATTTATATCGTTGCCATAATCCTGCATTTGAGCTGTCATCACACATAATGAATGAATTGATGAAGGTAGTTAGTAGTGTGACATGTTGTGAGACAGGGATGGCATCTCCATCATCATCCTCCACCTGCAATCACTCTTGGCAGACCCAGAAGCATGATGAACTCATGATGGGGACAGACAGAAGTGGGGTTAAGCGTCTCAGACAACAAAAACACAAAAGAAAAGAAGTGACTTTTATGCCAATGCAGTGGAGATGACATCAATCAAGCAGCAGCAACAAGTTATGAACCACATGAGCACCACACACAAGGCAAAACAATTTCTCCACTTCATTTGAGACACTTACTGTTATCTATGCACCTAACAGTTATGAACTAAATTATAATTTTGCAGAGCAACTTGAGATCTTTCTACTTTAAGCAGACCTAAGACCTAAAGTGTTGGAGCATGCAGGAAGCACTCCATACTATCAACCAGGTTAACGGGAGCTTCAAGAGGCTTCACTGTGAAGATAGGCTTTATCAACCATCAGTTGATGAAGATTACTTAAGTTAGTAAGGCAGAATGTTAGTAAATGTTGGTACCTGTAAAGAAAATCGTCAAGTCATCATTGAAGAGCCCCCTTCAAAAAGTTTGCCTGGTTTATTTGGCACATGCCCAAATGATCCTTTGAGCAATTGACTCGCTCCTGCTTTTGGAAAGGTGTGAGCAACCTGGGAATCCATCGTGCAGACACCTTATGCATGTTCAAATTGTCATGGATGATTTTTTCCACAGACCCTACACTGATCTTGACATCTTGTGCTAACTGGCGAACAGTTATACGTCGGTCTGCCAAAATGGCGGTCTCCACTTGATGGATAGTGTCCTCATCAATGGCTGAATGGGGGCGACCAGGAATGGCAGCTGTTTCCACAGATGTCCGACCACACTTGAACTGGCGATGCCAGTGTTTAACAACGTCATATGATGGGGCATCTTCCCCATAAATTGCTTTCATTTCATCAAAAGTTTCTTTTGGTGTGCGACCTTTCAAATATAAAAAACCTAATCACTGCTCGGTATTCTACTGGCTCCATGGTCACACCCTACTCGATCATAACACCTGTAAAAGTGGTAAGATTAATAGTTCGGTGCTGCAAATTCAGACATAACCCATAGATACATGTATCATTACACATGTGAAATTTCAACCAAATATGATAACCCTAAGTGGTTTGGGGGAATTTTTTAATGAACACCCCTCGTATATCAACAGCTTGAATTACATTATAAGAAGTGGAGTTATACAATCCAGCGGGAATGATGTCATCGGAAATGGAAATAATGACTAAAAAGCCAGTAGTGATGTCATCAAGTGACTGTCTGAAAGATGGTCTTAGAACATCTTAGGATGTTACAAGAGTGATTATCAGCAAATAGGAAATTGTAACACACATTCGTTTAATTCTCGTCATTTATCTGAGTCTAAGTTCTCTTAAGGTGATGTTGTTAGGGTGCTACCTTTTAGGATTAGAATCATCAGGCCACCAGCTGTATCACAAACAAACTGTTAACTCCAAGGTGATCACTAGATGTCAGAACCCTCTAGTCCCTGTGGCATATTCTGGCAATGATGTAATAAAGGTTTCGTATACACAAGAATTATCTCATTGTTGATAATGCTAAGAATACTACCACTATTACATCAGAAGTACTCCCTCACATCTCCCTACAAGAAAACATTGATGCAGCGCATCAAAGTTCCCCGCCATATGTGATGCCTCACAAACGCATTATGATGTTACTGAAAGGCATGATGGAGCATAATTATATTAACCACAAATAACACAACGCTGTTGTAGAAAAAAATATTATTTATTTTGAGTATTGGGCAATACAGTTGATACATTTGCATAGGGTAGGTCTATTTAAAAATAGTTTCTTGTTTAACGCCGCACTAAGCAGTATTCCAGCCATATGAAGGCGGTCTGTAAATAATCCAGTCTGTACCAGATCATCCAGTGATTGACACCAAGAGCATCGAACTACGCAATTGGAATATGATGTTATGCATCGACCAAATCGGCGAGCCTGACTACCCGATCCTGTTCGTCGCCTCTTTCGGCAAACATTGGCACATGCACATACTCAAATCATAGATCACATTCTTTTTACACTTGGCATTTGGTTATAATAATGTAAATGAAAATACTAAGGGCTCCATATGGCAAAAAAAGTCATACTAGATAGGGTCTTTTTGTCACAACCACAGATGCACATACTCAAAATATTATCACATTATTAACATTTCAATACCGGGACTAATCAATAACGGAGATTCCTCGTCTCTTGTTTTACGTTTTTTGGTCAGTTTCTTTTTTGTATTCCTTTCTTTCAAAGAATAGTAATTGTGGTCATGATGAGTTGAGTTACTTTTTTTTTTTGCTATGTACTGTTTTTCTTATCCAGTGTCAGTAACTGTTGTGGAATGTGGTTTACCTGTAACAATGACTGGTTTGAGTTCATATGATGATGATTGATTGGTTTGTCGTTTAACGCCGCACTCAGCAATATCCCAGCTATATGACGGCGTTCTGTAAATAATCGAGTCTGGACCAGACAATCCAGTGCCTAATATCATGAGCATCGATCCAAGCAATTGGGATCGATGCCATGCATCAACGAAAGCCTGACCATCCGATCCCGTTTGTCGCCTCTTACGACAAGCATAGTCGCCTGATATACTGTTAAGATGTAACATAACAATTCATCCATACTACTAAACAGAAGTAAAACCGCTTGTCCATTCGGATCAATATGACCCAAACCATTCCGCTGATGAGAGTCAAATAATGCATACGAATCGAAATCCGTAAAAATTGCAATGGAGACATCATTAAAAGTGACGGGGATATCAATATTGCTTGTTGAAATGATTCTATGAAATTTGTTTTCCCTGCTTCAGTATTTGGAGCACCTGTGACGGAGCCATAAAACTGATCTGTTATGTAGACAATATCGCTTGAGGCAGTGGCTGCTGTGTGCTGATTATGACCTAAATACCCCTCATAGCCTTCGGTGTTAACTATGTGACTGTAGAGAGCTGTGCCTTCATCCAACAGATTATCGAGGTCAGTGGAACACGGTACAGACACAAATAGATTTGAACTATATGAGTGACCAGAGCTACGGCTGTACATTGAATTCCATTAAACGGTTGAAAAATACTACAGCCTTAATGCAAATTCGCTGACACACTACTCCGATTTTGCTTTGAATTTGCTACCAAACGTTTCACATGTGGCTATGTGCGGTGCACTGATTAAAAAAAACACGGGGACTGGGTTAATTCAAAATACGGAATATAACTATTCCAAATATTTCCAGTGAACATGAGCATCCAAACAATCAAAAGTGTGGTATGTAGAATATGGAATTCAGCCATATTACATTTAAATTGAGATGTCGTCGTTGTTCATGAATAAGCATATTCAGAACATAATTTTTATTATGCTGTTATTTACGATCTCCGGAGCACAGTTCTTCTTTTGTATACACCGTGAAAATAAGAAAATTAGTCCTTGAGGAAAAAAAGGACATCGGATTACACATGAATGGTATAATAATGTCAGCTAATGACCAGAAACGGTCAGATGCATCAATTAACTACATAAAGACGATTTTGAAGTATATCTTATTGCTGGAAAAGAATAGCATCAACATTCCACGCACATGATTTGTATGTTTTGTTTCCGTAAATGCGTGGCTTGAAATTTCAAATAAACCAACATGTCGACATACATGCCACAAAATTATCGTTTCCCGTATACTTCCCCGCCTTAAGAATTAATCTACACCTAGTTAGCAGGTATTGAAGCAGGAAAGAAGTGAGATTTACTGCTTGGGGCATCAGAAAGAGTTGTGGGCAACTTTGTGCTAAGACAGGTACAACTATCATATTAAGGATAGCAGGCACTGAAGAGGACTTCTGAAGATTTAGTTGAAGTTTTTGATATCCAAAATACAATATTATGGCAATAATGTAATTAAGGTAGTATGTTTATAATTATAAACAAAGATAACTATTGTTTCATTTTACCATAGGAATTACCATGTAGGTACGCCAATCTGAATTGGCCAATTAGGTATCTTTCTGCCTCATCGTGAATTTCTTCTATTTGGTTTGAAGGGACCCACACTCCATCCATTGCCTCGTCCCATTCCTTTATCAACATTCGGGATGGCTCATCCCCACGCCTGCCATTATAAAGGGTGAGGCGAGCCACCACAAGGGATCTTAGCCAGGCATAGGAAGGTTGCGGGAATTGCTTTAGTTCGCAAAGCCGCAACACTTCCTTTGCTATGAAATCCCTCAGAATCTTCAAAGATTCTTCATCGGGCAGGTTGCCTGGCCTCCTGGCTTTATCTAGGGAATTCGATATTTCATGATACCTTGATTCCGAAAAAATTCTGGTGCTCGAAACGCATAAGCAATTTGAAATTTCTCCAATTCCTTAAATTTTTCATCCTGCATATTTTCTGTATACAGGCCCTTCTTCAGTGATTTTATGCTTCTTTGCAGGATAGCATTGAGATTGAGCTTCAATCCATGCTTTTCTTTTCCATTTTCTCCTTCAGCATGTTTATTGATGGCTTCCCTTAGCAATGGCAATTATTTTCTCAAGAACATGTCTTCTGTTGAAACATCATCAACACTCAGGTTTCGAAATTTGATAAAAAGACGGGCCAGCTCTCTCATTTCTGTCATGACACACTTTCGTATTTCTTCTCTTTTCGAAGTTTCTGATTTTCTTAAGCTGAAGTGTCTGTACCCGACTTGCTGTATTAATTCATCAGACTGGCAGAGCTTGCCAACTTCTGAGTCCCTAAATTTCTGTAAAATTTGTTCATGAAACTCCTGATCTTTGTGCCGATTGATTGGAACTAAACATTTGGGGGATACTGGATCTGCTGTGTTGGTATCACATGTTTTTCTATGGCGATAAAAAGTTCTATTTGAGAGAAAACGGTTACACCTACTACACATTTTCAATGAGTCTTCATGTTTCGGTTTTCTTTCCCTCATCAGAAGGATTTCTTCTTTTTCTTTTTGATTTTTGAACAGTTCTAAATTGTATTCTACCATTCCCTCTCTCCGCTTTTGGTAAAAAAAATTGGTGCGTTCCTCTTTACTTTTGGTCAAAATAACCTTCACTTCATCATTCATATGGTGCTGTCTTAAGATGTGTCTATTTAGTTTTTCCCCGCTCACAATCTTCTTGCAGTATGTGCAGAATCTGTCAGGTTTCTGAGAAAGAAAATCTCATATACATTGTACTGTAAAAAACAACCAACAATATGTCATTGTACATTGTATCCAAGTGGGTAATCAACCCAGACGTTTGATGTAACGAGCGGACGTTTAAACCACTAGGCTACGCCACTGACCCCAGTAACATACTAACGACACACCCAAAATCAAACTCTTCACAAGTAATTTCATGAGTGAATGACCTTCAAAATGACTGGTATTTTACACAAACTAGACATGTCTAGTGTTTACACATATTTACTCTCGTGGCCTTGACCATATGCGAAGGACACCCAAAAGAATGTATTAAAGAGATCAAATACTAGCGATCATATTTATAATCTCTAACATGTGTTGGAAAACAAAATGTGGCCTTAGAGCTCAACTTCAAGAAAACATATTAAGTAAGCACAATACCTTGGAGAATGAACGGAACATTTTTGCTCCTTACATGAGCAAAGTTTTACATAATTGCCTAGAACTAAGATGCCATTGTACATGGTTGGCATCAGACCTCACTTTGATAACCACATGATACACTGTAAGCAGACCTGACTTGCTTACTTAAGAAACACTGTCTGAATGATAAATTACATTGTACTGGATCTGCGTCAAGTGATTCATTTTATTGTTTCCAAAATAACCTCCATTATTTCCAGATACAAATGGGACACATTTCTGCATTGATTTGCAGCTGTTTACAAAATAGGAAACACTGCATTATATCATATCTATCATGCTGCTTTGTCCCTCTTACAAAGAAACTCTGCAACCTATTACCATTGCATATCAAATTTCAAAGCAATATTATTATCAAACTATGATGGAACTGTATAAGCATACCATTTATATCATATTTATGCAAGTAAGGTTCCAAAAGAATTCATTTTCCCACTTCATTTAACTGAAGTCCATGATGAAAGCAAAAAATAATAATACTTTCAGTGCCAAATATCACAAAATACTTTCACACACTGCTATTTACACTAACTTAAATAGGTTTTTCCACATATGACTTTGTGACGCAATACAAGAAACCATTTCAACTTTTACTTGGAACTTGTTTCAATGCCTGAGATAAACTTTCATTACATACTTTCTTTGACGTTGTCTTAGACCATCCTCCAGCATCACTGGTATCCTCCTGAATCATCAAATTTTTAATACATGCACATCGTAAGCACGGCAAGAGGGACACTATTGGGCATCTGCACAAAAGAGATAGGGATGATGTGCAGACTTGCATACATACTGTGGTTTGGGACACACAGGCTAGACATTCAGTCAGGGTTTTTCCTTAATCCATAGTACAGCTGCAGGGTTATAGCAGTAGTTGTAGTTACATATTAGTAGTAGCTGTAGTAATAGTATCAGTAGCTGTAGTAGTAGTAGTAGTAGCTGTAGTAATAGTTTTAGTAGCTGTAGTAGTAGTAGTTGTTGTAGTTGTATGTTCTTAATTGAGTAACCTAGAAAAACAGCAAGTGCTTAATAGCATATGCATTTGATAGAAATTTAGTCACAGTTACCTAATTCTGGCATTATAAGGAGGTTATTTCCTGTCATCAATAAGATGTTTTCAGTGCTAGTAACAGCTTTACATATCGATAACATAAACTTACATTGATAAAGTCACTCATACCATTCTTTGCTGATGGCAACCAACTGACCTGAGCCTCTTGTACTTGAGCTAACGGATTTCTCTGTCCACTCCTCCAATTCCATATCATGCATGACTAGTTGTTCCTCTGCATTAAGAAGAAAAACAGCATGACATAAGCTCACACTGACTGTTGCGATTGGATACTCACACATGCGGCTTTTTAATGTAGGTATCAGGTGCACATAAAAACACTTCTGATTAACCGTACATAACCTTAAATGTCTACACGCCAAGGGTATGCCAACAGGAATGGTACAAAACAAAGTTGCCAAACATTTTAATGTTCATTGAAACATAATTACATCTCCTTGGAGACATTAACTACAGCTGGGCAACGCCCATGACTTGCCATGGGCCAGTCACTCACGTGTGACTTCACATCAACAAGACAACCATAATCGGTTTTTGCTTCTACAGAATCAATACCAAACTGCCTCATTAACAGCTTGGGCAACTCTTGGATTGAGACCAATTAGTGGCAGAACCGTATGCAACTGGTTGAGTAAGTACAACATCCGGCCAAATTTTGCATGCCTAGCTTGGTGTAGACAGCACCTGAGGTTCAGAAGATAAGACTGGAACAGTAAACTGTTCACAGTCCAGGTTTCATCTGGACAGCTCTGATGGTCATGCAAAGGTCTACAGACGTCCAGGATAACGCTTTAAAGGGGAAGTGTACACGCAAAAATCGCTTTCTTTCTTATTTGAAACAAAATGCAATTTTAGAATTAGTTATTATTTACACTCATTTTTGTCACAGTGAAAGTAGGAAGCTCACAGTTTTTGGATTGAAGTGTAATGTTATGGGTCAGGCTGGTTTAGTTACCATGGCAACATGTGACGTCACCCGTTGTATCATGTAGCAAGAGAGTGCACTTCTGTGCTTCTTACAGTGTGGATAAACAATTCTGAAAACGCTAATGTTTCTCTCCTTATTGGATATTGCTATTATTATTATTGCTTCAGCAATGAGCAGAGGTACACACCATCACTCGAACTGCCATATACTATCATTGGTGTTCCCTGAAACACATAAACAACAGTCATTCTATCACACATCAAAGAAAACCTAAAATATCAAACTTGATACCGGTTTGTCCAAAGAAGATCATGTGTACCGGTAGGCTTCTAAATTCAAGGGGGCAGTCGGGTAGCCTAGTGGTTAAAGCTTTCGCTCGTCACGCCGAAGACCCGGGTTCGATTCCCGACATGGGTACAATGTGTGAAGCCCATTTCTGGTGTTCCCCGCCATGATATTGCTGGAATATCAAACCCACCCACTCACCCACTCTAAATTCAAGGTGAGTGAAAAGAAACATTATGGTCAGATCATAGTGTAGTGTCATAAGTTTCAATAAAAAAAATAAGAATTTATTTTTGAAGTGGCTGAATTTATAAAACATTAGAAAGTCTACCTCTAAACCACTGTCCAAGGTTACCAAATGACACTAATATGAAATTGGCTATATGTTTCACAAATATTCTGTTTTGGGCAAAGGCTGTCCAGGGTTCACCTGACATGACAACAAAGAGGGAGGGTTCGAGAGTTGAGAATATCATATTAGATTAAAGATTTCATTAATATGAGATTGAGGAAAATTCCTCATAACTTTTATTTTTTTGTTGCTCACTTTTCGCACCCAGCGGTCTGTAGTCAATGGGGATACGATGACATGCATCAACCAAGTCAGCGAGCCTGATCACACGATTCCATTAGTTACCTCTTATAAGCATAGTCGCCCTTTTATGGCAAGCATCGGGTACTTCCTCATAACATGTAAGATATACATACATACATATATATATATATATATATATATATATATATATATATATATATATATATATAAATATATGTTTTCAAATTATTAATAAAATTGAATGGATGTATTTTGTTTTATAACCTTCCTTCTTTTCAACGGTGGTGAGGTCTCATTTTCAGTGTCATCATCACTGGTGAAGGGATTTGGTATTGCACCACACGAGCTATTATGATCTAAAAAAAAGATTGGGTAAAAATTACATTAAATTATTCACTGTTGGAACTGTCTTGAAGCAATGAACCAGTCAACCCTGGCACTAGTGCTTTCTCAAACATATGAATTCAAAGAAGTTAACAGAGATGATAATGACTTCCATGATCTAATCACCCATGTCCAGATATCATATTTGAAATAATCAGATAAGTTTGATTGTGTGTTATTATGACTCTTAAACTTTGACAAGAAGCCAGGACAATATCAAGATCTATCACCTGTTCCCTGATTTCAGCAGTTGAGGCTTTGTACCTGTGCCATCTCTATTTCTCAACCTCCACATTATTAGTATTCATACATAAAATTGCAGGGATTTATCCAGGATTCTAAACTAAGAGTCCCTTGAAGACAAATTTTTTTAAATTTTTTTTTTTGGGGGGGATCTTTGTTTTGTTCTTTGTTTTGTTCTTTGTTTCTTAGATTCAGAGGTATATTAACTAGGGCTGCAAGGAATACGCTATGAGGCAAATACGATTCGTATCACGAATATAGGGTAACTAAAATATGAATATGAAATCACGAATACATGTCAGCAGTTGATTTATTATTTTTTATATATATTGAAACAATAACAACATAAAATATTTGACATGGTTTGTTAATTATTAATATATTATACATTTATATACTGCAATTATCCACAGCGTTAGAAATTGGCACTAGTTCTGTAGTCCTTGCCAAACTGGCCAATAGTTAAGGTATCATAAGGACTACCGGTAGTAGAAATTTGCCATTTTTAAGGGTTTTATTATATGTTTTCATTATAAGGACTAGTGGACTAAATATGTTAGTTTCTACCCCTGATCCAGGTACTAAAGTACTGTCGGAAATGCTTGAAAACTGCTTTTTGCCTGTTAAAAAGGGATATAATTGTTCACAGACTGTTGTTATTGAAATATCGAGTAACTACCGATCGCCGTACCTGTGGTTTGAAGTATTTCAGTCACAAGGAGGCCTATCCACCAGTTTACAGGAGACAAATTCGAACGAAAACAGGAAGTTCACATCTATTCTAAGTCCATTGATGGCAGTCTGAAAAGGACTATAGAAATAAATATGTGCACGTGACTCCGTTACAATGATGATAATGTAGTCTTCATAAAACATCTACTCCACACACAAAAATCATTTTGAGAAAATTCTAGATGTGCATCTTCTAAAATGACAAAAGGACGCTGCATTTTTTGTTGTTAACATTGCTCCTATGATGCATGTTACATTACACTTGCATAGCCATAACCAAGGTACACAATATGGAATCTGTGCTTGAAAATGCATACAAGTTCTTTACACTTTAGAGAGATAGAGGGAAACCATTTATTAATTTAGATAGGTTGATACCGAACTGCCCAAGCTATGGTGTTTTCAATTCATACCAGGTAACCGTGACTTGTAGTAGAATTTGGGAGGAATTAAAGATACAATTAATGATTCCCCGGACTGCACTAACTATTGCTCTCCAAGAGATGGGATTTTGACCGAGCACTTTTCAGGGGGAAATTTTCGATCCTGTCTATGACGTCACATTATCTCCGAACCATTCATAACTATCACAGTCACGGCGTCCAGATAATTTACCTCGGTGAATCATGCCACTGACTACATGTGGCTATTGGCAGATGGACAAAAAGCACCCATGGTACCATTAGGTACTTTAATCCTCTTAAACCCCCAGAGGAGGTTATGCTTTCAGGGGATTATTGTCCGTCTCAAATAAGTGATAAAAAATGAAATACGTATTA